TTTAAATAGGTGCAGACTAAGTCTTGAGGTTGGTTCTTACACACTCTTGCAGAGGCTTGAAAAAAAGGGATATCAAAGCTATGGGGGAGTGGGCACAGTCAGAAAGGTGCTGTTGGCCCAGCTGATACAGTGTGCACAGCCCTCGGCAGCCAAACAAGATATTTTAAGGAAACACTATCTTTCTGGTGTTTTAGCTGGAATTCCCCTTTACTATATTAAGTGTGTTCTAGCATTTTTTTTTTTAATTATCTGAACATCAGTAACATTTTCTGATTCATGTAACAGTTTCAGATGTGTTAAAGTAAAGAAGGGTAGTAGTCCCCTTTCTAATTTGTTAAACATACAAGCATATTTTTTACTGCATTGTTACTCAGAAGGTACTTAAAATGGTTTAAAAGTAGCCCTATCAGAAAAATTATGAAGAAATTACATGCAGTTTATATATGTAATTGGCTGCAGTGTGACTCATACACTGACCTTAATTTTGTTGTCAAGCCCTATTTTGTTATTGACTTGAGAAATCATGGAAGCTACAGGAGGAGAAAGTTTTGATCACTTGGCATCTTTGCCAGTACAAGCTTTTGCTAAACTGTATTCCAAAATACTTCATTCTGTCTTTTCTCAAAAACAGTTCTGAAGAACAGGATTTTTTCCGACCTTTGTGAAACTTCCTCCTAAAAGGAGAGTGTGTGAAGTGTAGGTTGTGCAATTCTTTAAAATTAATTAAAATAAGTGTGCATGACTTGGTAATTACCATGAGTGTTTTTGGTTATGCCGATATCAACCAAAAGTTTCTTTAAATTTACATCTCAGAAATACATCTTTCCTTCCCAACACTGAACAGTATATTTTAATGGCAAAATCAAACCACATGAATGTCCTGAAGTGTAAGATTGACCTGTCTAATGGGTAGGTAGAATTCTTAATAATCGCTAGCATACTCAGGTAGCCTGTATTCTACTAAGTCCTTAATCCTAATGTTATGTGGGTTTTGGCTCCTGAATTCTATCTCATCTAACCAGTAGTAAATACTCCTGCTGATACTGCTTCTGTGCAAAAGACTTCAGGTTGATTTGCTTTGCTGAAGTGGTTTGGGTTGTTTTTTTCCTCCCCTAAGCTGGATACTACAAAGATGTATTCAGAATGACAGCATTGTTCATTAAGTAAGCTATGTATGTAGTAAGAGCTGGACAAATCTCATTTTGCTTTGCATTATACTCACCTGATTTATTGGCAGCTGAGTCCCTCAGAACTCTGTTGATGTTGTTACTGTGTTTTGATACGATTTCTATAATGCATCTTTTTCTCCTCCTACTAGATATAACTAATTCTGCTTATATGTACATTTTGTCCTTGCAAGCATCTTTTGGCTCTGCATATCTTTTTGACTTCTCTTCTAATATTCATTCTTCTTTTTTCTCAGATTGTTAAGCAAGAACTGAATGCATTTAATTTTTAAATTGAAGGGATTATTATTTAGCTGAAAATGAAATGGAATACAGTTATCAATGCTTGCTTGTCGAAAGAGTAATTTTTTTTATTTTTTAAAATATAGTCCCTTTATTTTACATATATTGTAAGTTTTGTTAAAAATAAGCATTGATACCTTTTCACTTTCTGGGCCTTAGTGTGTTGTATTAGTATAAGAATATGAATGAAATAGGATTTATAGAAAGTGGCAATATCTTTATTTCATCGGTGACATAGCTGGAGAAAAGATGCTATTCCAGGCATACACTTTCTTCTTCAGAGTCCTATTTCATACATTGCCTTGACTTGCTCAATTTATATAACTGGATTTATAGCCTAGGCTCAAGCAGAAAGGCAGGATTCGGTGGCTCAAATAGCTGCTGTGGTTTGGGGGAGGTTGTTTAGAGAAACAATAACACAGGCAGTTAATATAATCACAAATATGTGGCAGTCTGATAATCAAACTTCTTTTCTTTCACCACATACAACTAATCTTCTTCTTATTAAATATCTGTCAGTATCCACTCTCTCTGAAAATATATGCTTGGTGATACAGCTATTTCTGTTTGATTATTCAGTTGCATTTGCCACCTAATTGGTGTTCATATTTATACTTCGTATGTGCTGTGGTTTAGCCCCAGCCGGCAACTAAGCCCCACAAAGCTGCTTGC